CGGTCAGCGGGACGAGGCCGGCCTTGTTTTCGGCCCTCTCCAGAGCCCCCGCACCGGATGTAACGTGCGGGACCTGCGGAGCAGCAAGTAAGAGCGGCGCAGGGAGAGCAGCGCTGCGTGGCGAGCGAGGGAGGGAGACAAGCTGGCTGTGCACACCCCCCGCTCCGAAATCCCTCGCGCCTTCAGCAGCCTTGTGACCGGCACGAGTCTCCTTTATCCCGTGCCGCCGTGTATATTGCTGCGCTGTTGTGCGCATCCCGTTCGCGTGCGGGGTCTCACGTCTTACGCTGACCCGTTTAGTCCGAGATCATGTCCCTAACGCAGCCAAGGGCCATAGGGCTAGGAAAGAGAGAAAGGCAGGGCAAAAGCGCGGCAGCGCTTTTCCAGAGTACTTGCTCAGCCTGGGTTTGCAGAGTTGGTAATTCCAGAGGCAGAGGTGGCATCTGCGTCGCGTCTTTCATGAGCTTGTCGAGTGAGCCGTCTCCCCCGTTGAAAGGACTTCCGTGGCTCACTCGGGCTTTGTGTGGAGAACCACTTCTTTAGTTTGTTTACTGTTAGCAGTGCAAGTATGAGAGGGGAATTAAAGCAGCACACAAAACAATTGTTCCCTAATCACCTTCTTTATGCCATTCGTGATCTTACTGTCAGAAGTGCCCTTTAACAGTCTCTTTTCCAGGCTGAGGGTTCTGGCTCTGCTCGGGTGTTCCTCACACACTCCATGGCGGGTTGTGTTAGCCACTTTTCTCTGAACCTTTCACAGCGTTACTAAGATCGTTTTGAGCCCCAGGGAGCAGAGTGGGGAGAGGGCAGAACGGCACATCTCCGAAGCTGAAAGTCCGGCCGGGCTGTATTAACTGCCAGGCAAGTTAACTTTGACAAGGCTGCGGGCAGCGTCCCAAGACCGAGGTCAAAGCCGCAGGACTAGTCGGTAGTCCTGGCTCGTGTTGGTCCTGCACAGCGATGCCCTTCCAAGCTGACCCTAACCACCGTCCACGCCCTCAGCTTTCTCAGCGCCCCTTTTCAGGTTTGTTCACAATGCAAGCACAAAGGCCTTGCAAAGCAAAATTAGGGATTGCTCAAATGTAATACTGTATTTAAAACGTTTTCTTTCTGGTTTAATTTTAAACCATGAACACAGCTCCGAAAACTACAGCTGATTGGCTGGCTGCATCTTTGAGCCTGGAGGCAGGAGAGCGCCGGGCGGTCGGTGTGGCCGCGCGCGCAGCGAAGCCGCCCTGGCTGAGCGCCCAGAGGCTTCTGTGCGCGTTGGGGTTCGGGAAGGAAAAGGGAGAAG